TGAGCCTGCTTGAGATTCTGTCTTTCCCCTTCTCTCTCTGCCTCTCCCCTGCCCGTGCTTGTGCACTCTCTCTCTCTCTCAAAATAAATAAATTAATTTTAAAGCACTTGAATATCATGGTATAAGAGCTACCTATGTATTTATAAAATAGAGTAATTAAATATATCTGCGTTCCTTTTCTGTGTCATCATTTTATAGGCATTCCTCTGATAAACACCATATATAACTGGTAGATACTGCAGTGCTGCAGTAGATATTACGTAAGTCCTAGCACATATGTGTGAGTATGTGTGTCTGTAGAGTAACTCCTAAAAATGAGATTGCCAGGTGGAAAGACGTACATCTGTAATTGTGCTAGGGAGGGCCAAATTGCCTTACATAGGAGGCTGGTACAGCCCCAATGCAAGGAAGTTTGGCACTATCTAGCAAAATTGATCTTTGCCAGTCTGTTAAATGAAAAATGGCATTTCAGTGTAGATTTCATTTGCATTTCCCTTATTTTAAGTGAGATTGAGCATATTGGAATGCTCTTTGTATTTATTTTCCTATGAATGTTCCCTTCCCCATTTTCAATTGGGTGGTTGTTCTTTTCTAGATCTATTTATGCAAGTGTTTTAGATATTGGGAGGTCCTTGTTCTATGATGAGCTGAATGGTTTTTTTTTTTCACTTTAAGCACTTTCCTTCAGGAATCAAGAAAAATGCTGAGAAAGAAGATTTTGAAGTACTATCTCAAAATATTTTCTGCCAGATAGTAAAAGGTACCTTTTTCTGGTCACTGACTTTGCACTAAATGCATGTTTAATATTCAAAACCTCACTCTGGGGGTGGCTGGGTGGCTCAGTGGGACTCTTGATTTGGGCTCAGGTCATGATCCCACAATTTGGGAGATCGAGCCCCATGTCAGGCTCTGTGCTGACAGCATGGAGCCTGCTTGGGATTTTCTATCTCCCTCTCTCTGTCCCTCCTCTGCTCACGTGTGTACACTTTCTCTCTCTCTCAGTCTCAAAATAATAAACTTAAAAAAAATTAAAACCCCATTTTCTGTTAGATGTTATCTTCCTTTTAGAAATGAAAAAGCTAAAGATCAGAGAGATTCAGTCATTCAATTCGTGCAACAAATATTTAGTAAGCACCCACCAGGTTCTTCATTTTGGGCAAAGAGCAGTGAGGGAAACAGGAAAGGTCCTTCACTTTGTTGTCTTGCATTCTGGCTGGGGAAATATAGACAACAAACCGGTAAACAGATAAGATACTTTCTGAGACTGTTAAGTGCTGTGAACAAAATAAGCCAAAGTGGCACACCCGGCAAGGGATGGGGGAGCTGCTGTTAGGTTGGATGGTCTCCGCAGTCCCATATGAAAAAGTGAGATTCAATCTGATGCCTAGAAGGAAAAAGAAGAAATGGGAAATGGAGCTGTTAGTGCAAAGGCCCTAAGGCAGCAACAAGTTTGGCTCATTCAAGACACTGGGAAGTTTGGGAGGGCCTGGGTGGCTCAGTGGGTTAAGCAGCTGACCTTGGCTCAGGTCACGATCTCCCGATTCACAGGTTCGAGCCCTGTGTCAGGCTCTGTGCTGACAGCTCGGAGCCTGGAGCCTGCTGGGAATTCTGTGTCTCCCTCTCTCTCTGCCCCTCCCCTGCTCACGCTTAGTCTCTCTCTGTCTCTCACAAAAATAAACATTAAGAAAAAATTTTTTTAAAAGACACAGGTAAGTTTGGTCAGGGGAGCAAAGAGGGAAAGCCGCTGGGTGGGTTGGAAAGGGAGGATAGTTTGACTGGCTTTATTTGTCAGTCAGGATAAGCTAGGTTCGCAGTTCTGAAATTGGTTTGCTTTGGTTTCAGCCCCCTATTTTCTTTTTTAAAAATTGAGGATTCCAAACAGCTTTTTTAATGCATTTATCAGTTATCTGTTGCTGTGTCACCCCAAAATATGACTTAAAACAACGCCAGGCACTGATTGTCTCTGGGTTGTCTGTGGGCCTGGAACCTGGGAGCAGCTTGGTTGGGCTTTTCTGACTTGGGATCTCTTGTGGGGTTGCAGTCATCGAAAGCTTAGCTAAGGCTGAAGAAGCCATCTCCTTGCGAGATGGCTCCATCACAGGAGGGGGTGCTGCTGTTCGCAGGAAGCCTCCATTCCTCTGTCTCCACAAGAGCCTCTCCACAGCATACTTGAGTGTTCTCAAGCCATGATTGCTGGCTTCCCTCACAGCAGGTGATCTAAGAAACAGCAATGTGGATGTTGAAATACTTTTTATGACCCCGTCTCAGAAGTTGCACATCATTATTTCCTCTAATGGTAACTCACCCTGTTTGATGTGGTCACGACTACCAGGAATTGAATATCCTTACAGTCCATCTGGGGAGACTGGCCACCACAATGTTGTAGAGGCCGGTTTTAGGCAACAGGCTTGAACGATGGAAACCTGAGTAAGGTAGAAGAGCCCAGGGTGACCCCAGCTCTCTGGCTGAATACAGAGAGGCCCAGCAGGCTACCCACCTCAAAATATCCATAGGCCCTAACTAACCAATGGGCTATTTACAAGCAGGCACACTTACCAAAAAAGGGAAAATTCCACAGGTCTTCATACCTCTTCACCTTCTCTCTTTAAAAACCGCCTCCAGCCACTGCCTCGTTACCAACAGCCTCTCCTCTGCTGTCTTGCCCACCGCTCCCTTGTAGTGTATTTAATATATTTTCTCCTTTGTTCTGCCTAGGGTGAATCCTTCCACTGCCTGTGCCCCCGGCCCTCACCCTATCAGAATGCCCCACATTTGGGGGCCCCTATCCAATTGAGAGAGACACCACAAATGGGGGTATTTTTCAATTTAAATTTATAAATTGGGGTGATTCAGTCAGCCAAGTGTCCCACTTCAACTCAGTTCATGATCTCGTAGTTTGTCAGTTGCGAGCCCCGTGTCCTATCAGGCTCTCCACTATCGGCTCAGAGCCTGCTTTGGATCCCTGTCTCCCTCACTCTTTGCCCTTCCCAGCCTGTGCTCTCTCACTGTCTCTCTGTCTCTGTCTCTCTCTCTTTCAAAAATAAATAAACATTAAGATTTTTAATTTATACATAGAAAGATTTTATATATTTGAATATATATTTAGAAAATAAAATCTGTGATATTTACCACATTAGAAATTAAAGTTTAAAAATATTGTTGATTGGGGCACCTGGGTGGCTCAGTGGGTTCAACTTCAGCTCAGGTCATGATCTCACAGTTCCCCAGTTCAAGCTCCGCGTTGGGCTCTGTGCTAACAGCTCAGGGCCTGGATTCTGTTTCAGATTGTGTGGATCTGACCTTATCTCTGACCCTCCCCCACTCACGCTCTAGTTCTCTCTCAAAAAAAAATTTAAAAAATTAAAATTAAAAAAATAAAAATACTGTTCATTTAGGGGCATCTGGGTGGCTCAGTCAGTTAAGTGTCCAACTCTAGATTTCAGCTCAGGTCATGATCTCATGGTTTGGGAGTTCGAGCTCTGCGTTGGGCTTATGCTGGCAGTGTGGAGCCTGCCTGGAATTCATTCTCTCTCTCTCTGCCTCCCTCCCTCCCTGGCTCCTCCTCTCCACTGCTCACGTTCTGTCTCTTTCTCTCAGTAAGGAAAAACTTTAAAAATATATTGTTCATTTAAGAATAAGTCCATTATGTGTTAACTTAAATAATGCACTTTTAATGAAAAAATATTTTCCAAAACAAAAATAATTAGAAGAATGGCATTGTTTCTAATATTTTAAACAGAAGAGTATTAGATTCTTACTTTTGCTTCTGCATACTCCACTAAACATTCATGAGAGAATGAGAATGAAAAATGGAAAATAATGTTTCTGTGTTATTACCAAAATAGTTTTGACTTCATGGATCCTTCTGAAAGGACTGTGCTACACTTTGGGAACCTTGGATTTGATTATGATATAGTAACAAATGATATCAAAATCTCAGTAGCTTAAAATAATAAAGGTTTATTTCTTGCTTATGCTACAAATCTATTTGGGGTTGCCCCTGGTTCTGTTACCTGTCATCTTTACTCAGGAACTCAAGCCGACAGGTCAGCTTCAAGCTAGGACATTGCCTGTCATTGTGATGGGATAAAAGAACTTGGTAAATGATCCTGTCTCTTAAAACTTGTGCTTGAAAGTGATGTCATTTTTTTTCTTTTTTCATCAGCCAAAGCGAGTCACATGGCCAAGCTTTAGTTCATCAGAGCTGTTATGTATAGTCTAGTGTAGGGAGGGGCCCCACTGGAAGGGAAAAAAGTGTGTGTGTGGATACACACACACACACACACACACACACACACACACGTATATATAAATAATATAGTGCTTAGAGAATGGATTATTTGGGGTGGATGTAGGAAGCTACTCGAGTAAAAATAGTGTTGGGGTGCCTGGCTGGCTTAGTCAGTAGAGCATGCAACTCTTGATCCAGAATCATGAGTTTGAGCCCCACATTGGGGATAGAGTTTACTTTAAAAAAAAAAAAAGAAAAAGTATAAGTTGTGTTAAAAATTGACACAGTGCTTCGGGCAAGAAAGTATGGTGGCTTGAACTAAGATGGTAGAGGTGGTCTGATGCAAGATGTACTTCGGAGTTGGTAGAATTTGTTTCTAGAGTGGGATGGGGATAAGCTGAGGTAGGATAACCTCTAGGTTTTTGTCTTGAACAACTGAGCGGATTATGTGACATTTACTGAGATGGAGAAGAATACCTGGGGTTTTTTGAAGGGTGGGACAGTGAAAGAAATGTTCTGTTTTGAATGTGTTGAGCCGGAGGTGTCCATTAGACATACAAGCAGAAACGTCCAGTATCCACTTGAATATAGAAGTCTGGAGATCAAGGGAGAGATCCGAACCAGATGTAGAAGTTCTGCAGGCATTAGCACAGAACTGATTGTAAAGCCATGGAGTTGAATGAGGCCTCCTGGGAAGAAAGTGCTAATATGGAAGAGAATAGGACTAAGGGCTAAAGCCTTGGCATGCTGCAACATTATAGGTGGAACAATGGCTTCAGATTCAGCAAAGGAGATTGTGGAGCCATTAAGGGAAGGTGCAGGCTCGTAGAAATAGGAGCAAAATGAAGAAACTGGCTCAGGAAGGAGGGAATAGTCTCCTTTAATGTTCTAGAAGTTGGATCAGTTGAGTACAGCAAAGTGACCATAGGATTTGGGAACGTGGAAGTTACAACTGACCTAGACAAGTACAGTTTTAGTGGAGAGGTGAGGGTCACACTAATTACATGAGTTGAACAAATGAGACACCTCTTTTGAGAATTTTTTTTGTTGGGTGGGTAAGTGGAGAAAAGGGAGGGAAACAAAGATGTGAAGATGAAATGATGTGTATGTGAAATTTTTTTGTAAATGCTCCGTGATAGGCCTATTTTATTATTATTGAACTCCTAGGAATTTCAAACCAGCTCAGTGTGAAGAATCATGAAAACTAGGCTACCACTAGCCCTCAACTTCCTGTCTGTTAAGGCGCAGAGTATCTCCACCCAATGAAAAGCCAAGAAATGAAGGGAAGGGACGGATGGAGAACGCCGGCCGGAATAGGAAGGGAGAAGGGAGGTTTTGCTGAGGTTAACATTGACCTCGCAGGGCCACCGTAGGGCAGACCCTCGCAGCTATTACGCTGTATTAGGGGCGGGGCCGACAGGAAATTTAAACCCGAGCCGCGGCCCAGGGCGCCTGGAGACTGGTCGTGTACTTGCGGAGAGGCCACGGCCACTCGGTCGTTTGAAAAAGCTCATGGAGCCCGCGAATACACTACGGAGACCTTGAGGAGGGAGCCAGGAAAGGGTACGGATGCCGGGAAGGGGAAGATGGGGTAAGAAGGAAGGTGGAAGGAAGGGGTTAAACGAGTGTAGAGAGGATGAGACATCGGGAAGGTGCACAGGAATTGGGGAGCTGATAGGGGCAGAAGCTGAGGAGCGTAGAGGAGCCGAGAAGAAGGGCTTACTGGCGTTGAGGAGGTAGAGGTCTAAAGGTGGCAAGTTGGGACTGAGGGGACAAGAGCCTGGAGGGAAGCACAGGGATTGAAATACAAAAGGGGTGGCCAAGAGGCCATGGGAGTGAAGGCGCAGAGTTCTAGAGGGGGTGGCGGGATTGAAGGACAAGAGACACGGGAGGTGAGATGGGATACGGATTGTGATGGAGTTCAGTCTTCCTTTCCGCCCCCCCCCCCCCCCCCCCCCCGCCCCGAGAGCCGCGCTGGGGGGTTTGCAGGAATTGGGAGGCCGGGGGTGGGGGTTGGGGGAGAGGGTAGTAGAAGGTCGAAGGCTAATGAAGGTGGTTCTGATGCTGTTTTGTCCTTTCTCAGGTGACGGCAAATTCTCAGAGCTGCAGAGTTCTATGGCTGAGAGTAGGCTCCGGGCTCCTATCGTAGGTAGGTAACAGGTCAGAACTAGGGATGCGAGGTCGAAGTTGGTACTCCTGCACCAAGTCTTTTGGAATGAAAATCATGGTCGAGAATTGTCAGCGCTATTGAGGTTTCCTAATTACTTAGTGGCTCTGAGTGTGTGTATATGGAGGGATGGCATGAATCACTTAGGAATTCGTGGTAAAGGTCAAATAAGAGCTTTCAGTCTGATATTACTAACAAGATGAGCAGATGGAGAGTCAGGATAGAGTACCTTATTAAGCTCATATTCATGGTTATTTTTACCATAAACCCACCGAAATAGACAAGTATTGCAGCCATACTCACTTCCGTCACTTCCTTCCCCTCCCCTAGTTTCTTCTAGTTTTAGTTCTGGATTGTTAGAGATACAAGCTTTGGTTGCCTTTGAAACAGCAATACACTACTAAATTATTTACTCTTTGTTTGCTGGAGGACTTTCTCCAAGAGTGTTTTCAAAAGGGGGCTTTATGTGATAAACTTTCTGAAGCTTGTATGCCTGAGAATATCTTGATTTCTTCTTCATGTTAAATTCTTGAGTCAAAGTTTTTTTTTCCTTCAGTATTTTCTTCCTGCAAAAAGTAGATGTTGTTGGGGTGCCCAGGTGGCTCAGCAGGTTAAGCACCCAACTTCAGCTCATGTCATGATCTCACCGTTTGTGAGTTCCAGCCCCACATGGGGCTCTCTGCTGTCAGCGCACAATCTCTTTCAGATCTTTTCTCCCTCCCTCTCTCTCTCTCTCTCTCTCTCTCT